ATACTTGTTACTCACAACATCTTTACTATTTTGGCAATAGCCACATTCTCATCCCTTTATACAGAATAGACGCAAGAAACTGAGAGATAAATCACCCCAGCATCATTCAGTTATTTACAAGTCCACAATCAGAAAGCCTATTTCCTGACCTCTCATCGCCTACACTGCTCTCTCCTTTGTGACATCTGTCTTGACTTCAGACTTAGATTCGAGTATTAAAAGTTCTAAATGCTTTAAAAAATTGCTAGTCTTTTCGATGAGTGGATTTGACATTCTACTTTTCCACTTAATATAATGTTTTCCTGGACTTAAAGTGAGTGCCCATTTATAAATAATTTTAGCAAGTTGACTATAGCTGTCAGGCTGTCTTAAGTAGCACGAAGATTACAGCAGACTATTCAGCAAAGCCTGACAAACAAAAGGAAGAATTGTGGGCTTTATCTAGCTCCTTCCCAGGTACTATTTAATATATTCTGACATGTTTCAAATTATAGGTCACAATCTATTTATACTTCTGGAAAGTTCATTTTCAGTCAGCATTGCAGAAATGAGACTAAAGCATTTGTGTGTTTTCTGTGAATACAAGTAAGCTAACTCAAGTCTTCTGATATTAGCCTACAGAGCCCTACAACTAAATAGTTTGGTATTGCTCTCATATGGTCCAAATGAATCAGTAACTGTGACGCATAAACCAGCAGCAGGATAAGAGAGAATTTTACTTTCATTCTCTCATAGGTTTGTCATGAGGATTCAAGAACAGAGAACAGGGTCTGGCACTTAGTAAGCAGCCAATAGACATTAATTATCACGATCCTGACAATAATAATTATAAGAAACAAATAATTTTCAAATAATAATTTGGAAGGTACAGAAATGTAAAGGATAAAGAAATATAAAGAATAAATAAAATATAAATAATTGATTGGAAGATAGAGAAATATAAAGGATATTTTTTCTTATATAGATGTTTTATGTTTGTATTCTTTCCCCATCTGGTTCATATTCTACAGCAATTTTATATATTGTTCTCTTTATTTTTAAAATACAATGTGAATATTTTTCTATATTATTTAATATTCTATAATTATAGTTATGTTTATCATATAATATGCATCTTTTAGATATGCCATACTTTATGTATGTACTATTTGAATTAAAGTTTTTATCCCCAGTTTTATAATATTGTAAGTAACACTATTGAACATTTTCACTTCTAAGTTCTGCGCTTTTTTTTGTTATGTGATTCTTGGGATATGTTCCCAAAGGTGACATTATTTAGTCAAAGGACATTGATACCCTCAAATTCTTGCTGAGTATCTCAAAATTGCTCGCTGTGAGGTTTGTACCATTAACATTTTCTTCTGGTAGTGATTTGAGAATTACGGTTCATCCATGTCTGTCTGAGCACCACTTCCCGTCCTCATATGTGTATAAGACATGTCTTTTGTCATTTTCCCATTATGCTTTCTGGTTTTGTTTGTTTGTTTGTTTGTTTTCCTACTTGATTTATCAGAGCTATATATTCCTTTGGCACTTATTTATTAAATTATTTCCTCTACTTTTTGTTTTCAATTTTAACATCATTAGCTATTCTCTTGTATTCTTAAAAAGCAAGTAGAGCCAAATTTCCTGCTTCTAATACTTCCTAAATATAATCAAAATCTATGTTAAGGGAACTAGGACACCAAATTTAATTTTGTTGACAAACAGCCCTCATTTAAATAAAAAGGAAAAGAGAAACAAGGATGGGCAGTTTCAATGTATGCTCACACTTTATCAAGATATTAATCAGGTGATTGTGTACTTTACATCCTAAGTACATTTGTGACTTGAGAGCCTTCAGTACATGTTTTCTCATCAGTTCCATGATGAGGGTGTCTCATCAGTTCTTAGCTTAATTTGCCTTTGAGAAAATCTACCATCTGATTTGGGGCAGTTGCCTGCACAGGAAGATCTTGACTGAATGAGAAGAGAAATACTTTCCATCTATTCCCCTCCTATTGTAAGGGCCCTTACCGTTGCACAGAGTGGATTTCAATTTTTTTTTTTTTTTCTTCTTTCTACAGCAAGGGCCTCTTTCATCCTCCTGCTTCATTTCTGGTAACAAAACCTTCACTGCCAAAGTCCACAGACGTGGTGGCAAAGAGAGCGACAATAAGAGCTTTCATTCTCTTCTTCTTGCATTCGCTTAAAACACTCAATAGAAATGGATCACCTACCATACAAAATTGCCCTGTCACCTCTTAACCTAGTCAGTTCTGCTTTTGTGTATTTTCAAACTTCTTAAAGTTAGATATACTTCTCCCTCTGCATAGCTCCAAACTTTAGGAGTGTGAGTATTTGGATAAATTGTCCCAAATTTACAAACCCCTTCGCTTCTGTCCTCTAAATCAACTGTAGAAAGCCCTGATGCATTTTGATATAAACATTAAAAGTCTAAATAAAAGATCTATAAGAGTAATAACAATACCAAACAGCATGAACATACATTAGAGAATATTCAGAAACTAAAGATTAATTGCAAATAAAGTTGTTAATTGCATAAATGTCTTGATATCCATGATGCATAAAGGCTTTCATAAATTATTCTCTATTTTCAATAACAGAATGACAGAATAATGATATGGTTTGCTCTGCTTTCTGTCATTTTACCCAAGGCAAATTTGATCTTAAATTTATCCTCCTATCCTATGAGCAGGTCATAGAAATGAACTACATAGACTTGTTCATATAATCATTGTCAAAGTATTACATTATGTAGTGACTTTCTACGTAAATGTAGCTCATATATTTTATTTTTAGTGTTTATTATTTAAAAAAAAAAAAACACCTTAAGGAATGAGAAAGACTCAATCCTACACACAAAATTTTAATTTTGCCTCTCAGATGTGTGCTTTTAATTAACTGGTAACATTTCCTTTGTTCAATTATTATTGTTCTATACAACTGTCATAAACTTATAAATTTTAATTAAGGCTGCCTCAAACCCTAGTTATATAGTGTCCACATAGGAATTTGCCAAAAGGCTTAACTGTAAGTAAACCAACAATGAATAAATCCATGAATTGCCTACTGGGATTTGTTTAACAAATTAACATTTGTGTGGAGATAATGAGGTTCTACAGTCTATAATACCAAACAATGTTTTTATAAAACCATATTTTTAAAGTGAAAAATGCTTTCTAAATGACTTAATTACATATTATATTATTAATTATTAAATATTATAAGACGATAAGCTACATGGCCATATATCATGTTGAATTCATGTGAGAACTCATTTATATTACTAATGTGAAGTATGAACTTTTCCTGAACATATTATCTAAGTAAATCAAGATCTAGTAATTTGGGTGCGTAGATAAAGGACAAATGATTTCAACAAAACACTAAAATTGTGCTGTATCTATTTACAATTCAGGATCCATTAACAGGACAGCAAATTCAATGTTTCCTAGAGAGTTGTCCCTGTGGATACATTGCAGGTTGAATAAATAGACATAGTTTGAAACTTCAGATGGTTTATTTAGCCTAAGTATTTCTAAGGATAAGTATAAGTAAATCCTCTAGTCATAACTCAATGACTGTAATTATCTTAATGAGAAAATTAAGTTATCAGTTAAATAATAAAATCTCCAAACAATTCATTTGGCATGAGAAAAGCTTCTTGCTTAAAGGAAATATTGTATGTGCTACTAACATACAATCACACACACTTTGTTGAACTTGGATTCTCATTTGTATATTTAATAAAGAACCCAGTACTATAATTTCTCCGACAGGAATAGAATATACTTTACTGTATGGACTAGATTCCCATAAGCAGAATAAAAATATGTGGTAAGACTCCTAGTGCCTTTTATATTTCAGTCAACCTGCTGAATATTTTTTTTAGAATGCTATTAAGTAGTTAGAATACCTTAATTATCAATTATTCATAAGTCAAAAATATTTATAGACATAAAACTACCAAACTTTTACTATTAGAATGCAAATGAGAAACAGCTTGGTTTCTCTGAGCTTCATTGAAAATTCTTCTTTATGTGATTCTTCCAGTTAGCATTATGCTAAATACTTCAAAGAACAGCATAAGCAATAGAAGCAGTGAGAACTCCCAGTAAGATAGAAATTAACCATGTAGGGGATGTGAAGATCATATAGATTCATTTTCCAATTGACTAACATAATTTGCATTTATGCTAGCAAAATTAAATGTGTATGGATTGCACTCTAATTGTTGTATTATGTCCCTTGCACTGAATATTGGAATTTGCAAATTAGACTTTTATTATGCATTGAGGTAATTTTTTCTCATGGGAGCATATTCTAAATGTAATAGAAGTCAGTAGGAAAATATGTTTCAATGTTCAATTATATGCTGTAGACAACACTTTTTGCAAACATGGCTATTGCATAAAAATAATAACAGTCTCAAGTGTATCCTAACATGCAGTAACCTGATATTTTTTCAAAGCATATTATATTCTGCATTGCAATGCCAACTGAGTAGTTATAGTTTTAGATGGAAATCAGGATGCTATCAGATGTTCTGGCTTACATCTACATTTAAATAATTATTTACATTTAAAGTGAACCTAATTTACAACAAGATTTGATTTTCAGCATTCAAGAAACTATTTGTGCAATAAAACACTGACTGTGGAGTCAAACATATAAGACGTGGAAAACTGGCTCTATTAAATCATTCTCAGCCAGGGTCTATAGACACTGAACCTGTCACATGGTACCCTCTCAACACATGATAATGACCATTACTGTTGTTAAATTTTGTGGCTTGAACTTTGAAATACTGAATTTAGAACAAATGCTATTAATTATGTTAAATTAATTATTCAAATTAGTTTGGGTTAATGTATTTTTATAAGATATCAGAAATTATATTTGTAGCATTAAGTATTGTCCTTATATTTTTTACATACAGGTATAATATAAGGAAAAATGTAAATGATTTGAATATAAAATGACACTTAAATATTTACCCAGAGCTGATGGCATGCAAGTTCCTCCATTTTGGCAGTAGTTGCTACAGTGGTTGACTTCACATCTTTCTCCTGAATAACTAGGCCAACAGTGACACCTCAAATCACCCTTCTCATTTACCATACATCTTCCTCCATTTTCACAAGTCAGTTTGCATGAGTCATCTGGTTATGAGAAAAAATGTACAAATTCGCATGTCATTCAGGGGATGATTGAATAAAAATAATTCAAATGAGCAAAAATTTGTGAATGCCAGAGTCTTAATTTTTAAATAAAATAAATACCCCTAAGTACAGAATCAGAAGAAAATGAAATAGTATTTGAAAGCAGAGAAACAGGTTCTAGTTGTTGAATGGCCAATACAAATGTTAAGTTGACTTGTATCCTTCTTTAAACTTAAAGCATTATTAACCATTTCCTATATTTATTAAATATTAAATAATAAAATTTACTGTAACATTCTAAAAATAACATATTTTTCAACCAAGAATTTTTTTATGATATTGGCAAATATGGCCTTTTTTAATGCATGGTTAATATTAAATCAAACTTGAAATATGTCAGATCTATTTACTGCATGTATATATATGCACACGCATACACTATTGTGTCCTACAGTATATGTGTATACATATATATGCATATATATATTATTTATAATATAGAGAAATGTTTACATGAAGAGATGCTCTGATGTCAGTCCTCATTAACCACACATAAATGTTTCAAACTAAGTCATTTAGATTTGGTACAAGATGGTGATAGAACAGAGTCAAAAACATTTTCATATGTAACATTTGTTCTAAATGATTGTGCATAATCTGTCTACTTAATGGCATTTTGGTTAAGAATAAGAAAAGTTGGTCATTCCTTCGGGTAGCAAAATTATTTTTAACAATATGGCAAATACGATTGATGATAAAGATTGGTTTGAAATCATTTTCCAGGTTATTTTTCTGTGTGTATTGACATGGCCTTGCTCTTTTAGAAATACTTCTTTACTTTAAGCAGGACATATGTCAAATGGAACAAAAATGATTGAGAATATTATAATAGGTGTTCTATTCAGAATACATCCTCGACTAAACTTATCTATTTCATAGTGGTTAGACAAACTGAAAACAGCCTATACTCTTTATTCAGGATATGTTGGCCCATACATGATACAAGCTTGAATATATCACTGCAGTGGTCACAAGAGTATCTTAAAGAACGTCAATGACTTCAAAGGACACATGATTCAGGTACAATATCTACTGTCATACATAGGGACTATCAGTCAGCAGTACCTTGTCACAAAGAAGTTTCTGACACTTTGCCATGTAGGTTGGCTTCAGGCTGGCATTACTAAAGTTTGCTTTTGTAATATGAAGGACTCCCTCATGAGGTAATATGTTTATAATATAAATTACTGTCTTATAATAAGACCTGTGTTTAGGTCCTAGTTCTGCCACTTACTAGGCATACAAGTTGACCTATCTGAGCTTCAGTTACTTCACTTTAACATGGCCTTAGTTTGTTACAATGTGGTTATAAATAATACCAAGGTCAAAGGTTTGTATCCCTGAATCAGCCAACCACCAAAAGTAAATAAAATAAAATGGCCTTAATAACAAACTTACAACTTAACTCAGACTTGTTGTGAATATTAAATAAAGTAAATAATTTGGAAAGAAAAGTTAAAATTCTAAAAACTTTGTTAATATTAAGTATATGAATATATGCCTTACACACATGCACACAAATGAGAATATGACTTCCAGCTTATATGTACCATATCTAGAACAGTGGAAAGCTGAAGAGCTGAGATCTGGGTCTGTAAAGCACATTGCTAAATTTCAACAGGCAATTGAGGCATTCATTTGGTAAAGTAACCAAGTAACATTCTTATTCAACATTATTTATTGAGTACTCACACGTACACTGAAGGTAAAGCTCGAGTGGAATAAGATCTATGAATGCCAGAAGGTGAGCACTGGAGGAACTGAATGAAAGTCACTGTGATTGTACCAGGATTAGAGAGTGTGAAGGAAGGAATTACAAGAGGTAAGCGTCTTAGAAGAGATAAGCAGAGAGTAAGAGAAGATCCTTGGATTTTGGACTTTACCCTAAAAGTAATATAGAGTCTCTGAATAACCTAAGATGTCTGAGACTGAATGTACGGCCAGGGGTTACACTGAAAGCAGGGAGACTGTTAGGACTTTGTTTAACTTACCCAGGCCAGGCTAGATTATGGATTAAAACAGAGCAATGTGGGATGAATAAATGAGGATGAGTAAAAATCACATCAGTGTTGTATAAAGAGAACAGGAGAAACTAAGGATGATTCTCCAGTTTCCGACCAGTACAACAGAATGGAAACATAAAGGCAATAGGCAATTTAGCTTTGGACATATTAAATTGGAGATGCCTATACAAAAACAAGTGGGAATCTCCTATAAAAATTGAATACAGAGGTCAGACTCTGAAGAAATATCTAGAATGGAAACATGCTTGCTTATTTTAAAATTTACCAAAATATTTTGAATTCATTCAGCATGATATGTCCTAATAGGGGCTATGAATGTGAACAGTGAAGATAAACATTTAAGGCATTATCATCACAGTTAGGATTATTATGGGGGGACTCATTTTCATCTGTACATATTCTATGCAAACCACATAGATATTCAAAACTCTAACATGTTGGGTCATGTGAATTTTTATTATGTGCCTCTTTAGGCACCAGAAATTTAAAAGTACAACACTGCCTGATGAAATGGAAGTGCAGTTACATTCTTTCAAAACCTACAGTAGCAGTTCTATAATGAAAAAGATGGCTGTTTTTGTCAATACCTAAATCACCCCAGAAGCCAAGCTCTAGCAATTATAATCAACTATAGGAAAAAGCAGGTGAACACTTCCCCAAGAATGACTAATACTTGAATTTCAAATTTCTAACATGAAGTTTAAAAATAGTCAGTGTGCTCATTATTTAACAATAGCAGCTAGAGAAAGGCAAGTAATTATAAAGAGCTAAAAAACTGGCTATATCAAATGTTAATGTCTGGAAAAATTAATTGACATTTATCTACATCAGTCAAAAATTGTGAAATCCACTTATTTGTGTTCCAAACTGAAGTGGTCCAAACTGTCTATTATTAAGCCCTATTACATGTGTAGATGCCAATCTAAATATTTTTTTTAACAGTGTGATTCTGTTTAAGATTTTCTTTCAAATTACAAGAATGAGCTTTGAGGAGGTGTCTGGAGTCATGCCTTTCAAGCAGGTTTAAAATAGTAAAAAAAAAAAAAAAAAAATCTCCAAAAATGTTTAGATCTTGGGTAAATGTGCATTTAGATAAACAAGCTTCCTTCTGTCAAGTATAAAATAATACAATTTGGTACTTAATGCAGCAAAAAACTTGTTTCACTTTCTCATATATGTCATGGTGTTAGATTTATCTTAGAGTGTTATGTGTCTACTTTTTGTATGGCATAGTACTAGGCATTTTACATATGTTATTTCTAATATTTTCAATAACTCTGGAAATGGGTACTATGGGTGTCACAAAGGCAGTAGGATGAATTGTGTGATGGTTAAGAAAGTGGACCACCTAGGTTCACCTTGGGATACCACTATTTACTAATTAATGTTAGACAAGCAAGTGAGCCTCTTAATGCTTCAATTTTCTTATCTATAAAATAAGGGAAATTACAGTATAGTATTATTGGGGTTTTGAGAAAATTAAATGAAAGTATATATATTTCATATACTTAGAATTATGCCTTGCTCATAAGCCCTCAAAATATTTATTATTAATAATATTATCAGTGGTGGTATTTATTGTTAACCCAATTTTACACAGAATAAACTGAGACTCGGGATGGCAAGTATAGAGTTCAAGGTCAACAAAGTTTTTAAGTGAAATATCTTGGCATAATCCCAGGCTCCACCTGAGCCCCATACAAGGCCAGTTCTTCCACAGTATTTGTTGTTTGGTTTGTCAGATAAATAATTTGGACTAAGCAAAGAGGAAAAGAGTAGGGTGACATAGAAGACATAATGATGTCTAGTTTGAAAGGAAAACCAGTGAAAACTGTCTGAAATCTGACCATAAAACATACCAATAACATCTAAGCCAATGTAAAAGTCACACCAGTAGCATTATTAGTGCACTTCTGTGCATAATTCTTATCTCTCTCCAAGGTGTCTCTCCCACCCAAACAATAGCATAAGTAGACACGGTGGACAGAAGGCAACTGTGAGGGAGTTTCTTATGACTGTGTGAGGGGACTACTGAAGGGGCAGCACTTCTACAAGAAAGAAGCTGTTGACATCTTAAAGAACTGTTTCTGGGAGGTTAAGTAGAATATGTACTCCCCTCTCCCCGCACGAGGCTTACTTCTATGGCCCAGTCAGAACAGCGAGTGAGAAAGTGGTACTTGACAATGTTTGAAAATATTCACTTAATCCTCTTATTCTCCCATAATGATTGAGATCACAACTACTTTGGGAGAAGAACTGGTAAAGGGGAAAGGGGCATCCTAGTGCCAATAAGACCATTTCTTTTTAATAACTGGCACTAAAAAGCCCATCCAAATACCAATCATGATTCACACTTAGCTCTCTGTTAAAAACTTGCCAACCTTGCCACCCACAACAGTGCTTTACACACCCTACAAACTGACTGAGACAAATGACATTCTTTTCTTTATGTGCCATATTTCCCTGTCTTTTCGGTTTCTTCTGTTTCAATGTTGTCCTGCCTCATTCCCACTTAATCTAAATCCAATCTGTCTTTGCAGAGCTTGGTCAAAGGTCATATCCTTTAGAAAATCCTAACTGATCCTCTAATTGGGCAATCATCTGAATCCTTGTAATAGTTTTAACCCTGTCTCTTAGGTGGCTTGTATCACTATCAACATAAATTTCTATTTATTGGTGTTTATGTCATTCATCATTTCACCTTTTCAACCTCTTCAGCTTTGCATATCTAATGCTTAAATAATACATATTAAATTTAAGAAGCTATGATAGTTTTAGACATGGAGTGCCTTGTAAAAGAGAAAAGTCTTTGAATTGCATGCAACCCTCAGCAGAGAATGAGGAGAAAACTATACTGCGGAGGAGTGTGAGGAGTGCATTCTAACAGGGAAATACAACAGGTAGGAGACCCCACAATGAAGAGATCCTAAGTATGGATCTCATTGGAAAAAGTTTGCCGTTATCCCCAAGCGATTGTGGATCATTGAGTTTTTGACTGTGACATAAAATTTACTTAAGTGCAAATTTTCTTTTCTCTTAACAGTAATTTTTTCTCCATTATGGTTAATGTCTTACATGTAAGGGAATGTATTATCAGTCTACCTGGATATTCAGGAGACATCTCTTCTTTCCCTTTCCCATCACACTGTTTTGTTTTGATTTTTGTTTTTTTATTTTATTTTTGATTTTTTGCTATTTAACACAACATCTGAAATGATGTTTCAAATTTTTGATTGTTAATTTCTCCCTCTAGCTTCTAAAATATAAACTACATGAATGAAGGAATCTTATCAGTTTTGTTTCTAAATTAGTTCTCTTAGTTTCTAAATTAGTATTATGTCTTGCTCTTAAGCCCTCCTAATATTTACTAGTTGTTGTAGTAGTAGTAGTAGTAGAAGTATTTATTGTAAATCAAATTTTACACAGAAAAACTAAGAATTAGGATATGTGCAATATAAGCCTATTGAATGAATAAACAGATTTTCAGGTTGGGCTTAAACCCACTAGAAAATGGCATGCTCAAAAATATTGTTGTCTTCTCTAATACAAGAGCGTTATAAAAATGTCTTTTGATTCTGTGAGTGACTTCAAAGTTTTCAATCTGTTCTTAAGTGCATATTAAGTGTTCAATGCTACTGTGTAAACAAATGCACAATAAATTAACAGAAATTCTTCCACAGAGAATAGTTTACACAGGCATTCAAGAACCACTGATACTAAGGCAGCTAAATTGATAATGGAGCAGGTAATTCTGCTCAGTTACCATAGCTGTGAAAACATACCACAAGGATTCATTCATTACATACAGAAGAATGACATGTACTTACCTAACAGGCTGTCATGATTGCAGGTGCCATTAATCAAATATTTTCCTTCTGGGCACAAACAGGTGGCCCCAGAAGGATTCAGTAAGCAGAGGAATTCACATGCTAAATCCAAGCATGGATTGGGTACTGATAGAAACAAAATAAGAGAAAACAAAGAAACACAAAAGTACAGATATGACAGATTTCAAAAACATAAAATTCAATAAGGTGAAATAATGAATTAACAATGTTGAAAAGAAATCACATCAAATTTCCAGTGGAAGTATCTCATTTCAATGTCACCATTCTTTATAGTTGAAGAGAAATTACTACCCAACATCCATCATTAACAGAAAGTTTGTCCTAATTATACTTCCCCAAAAGGGGAAGAAATTATTCAAATCTATATTTTGTTACTCTTCCTTGTGACTAATTACTTTTTGGCAAAAGGGTTGGTCTTAAAACCTGAAGCACGGTTTGGAGCTGTGTTTAAAAGTAAAGGCAACTGAAATTTTTTGGTACCTAATCCTCATTTTAGATCTTCATAGAACTGTTCTAACAGATAGAAACAACTCCCTCTAGTATTTACAAAGGCTTAAAATACATATGCATCCATCAGTTCAAAATACAAACAAAGATATGACCTTTTTCTTTTTTCTAAAAACCATGTTTTACGTGGTTTCCTTTTCGTCAAGTAGGAGTTTGCGTGCATGCATAAATGTGTGCTCTACTTATTTTTGTCTAAATTCTATCCAGTCATCATCCTTTGTGGTCATAGCTGATTCGTGGCCTTTTCTAGGGATTATTTTGTTGTTATGAAATGGAAATGGCATCTAGATAACTGAACCAATGACTATGAAAGTGGCTTTCTTTCTGTAAGAACCTCTACTCAAACACTTATTGTATTCAGGGCAAGGTTTTATTTAATTATTTTTTATGAATGTGACAATATTTGACTATGAATATGAATCAAACAGAACTAAAGGATGATAAAGTGTGTCCTCATATTAACCTTGAACTATATATGTCTGATTATTGGTAAAGAGTAGCAAGACTTTGTATGGAATATCAGAAAGTTTTTAGGGGACTATACCTTGTTTTAATGTGTTTCCAAAACTGATTTGGATAAATATCAATTGTTATTGCTCCAGATAACTGCACCAAACAAGATAAAATCCCTTTTTATTTGACATAAAATACAAATAAATCTTAGACAGTTTCTTGATAGATGAATTGATACATAAAGACAGATCATTAGAATTTCAGCTGCTGTTTTTTTTTAACTTTGTTTTCCAATGTTTTTGATGGCTGTGTTCAAAAAAAAAATTTAAGAAGTTACCTCAATAATTTACTTACTCCTTTCTAGGAGGGAGATTAACAATAATAAATCATAAACAATAAATCAGAGAAAATACAACTCTTGGGAAGAGTTCTCCCTGGATAATTTTAAGGATGGCATGTTAATACTATGATAGCTACTTGGCTATCAGTAACAATAGTCACATAGCTAATGACGAATTTCCTTACTTGCATGGTTCATCTACAGACTCACAGATTTTATTGAGAAGTTAATAAAAATGGAATAACAGGCAGATTTTATAACAAGTTGATATTAGTTCCCAGAAAACATAGCCAAATGCTGAAATTTGCTATACCTGTTATGGCAAAAATGGAAACATTTTCCTTATCTATATCTTGACTTTGGTAATTTGAAAAGTCTCATCTTGTAGAATGAAATAAAGTCAAATGTGAATTTGACCAAAAAAAAAAAAAAAAGAAACAAAAAAGGCCTGGTGATATCAAATTTAAAGTTATTTAACTTACTGGGGTTACAATATTTAAAAATATATTCTTTTGAGAAGTATAAGGAAAACACCCACCAATATAGACAACTTTATAAAATATTATACTTACAATGTAGTTGCTTGTAGCGATGAGATATTAAAACACCTTTTGTTTTATCCACATCTAAAGCTAGGTACTCCACTGAGCCATGGCCAAATTTTTGCACTCGAAATACACCATTTTTTGGTCCTGCTCCATATATATAATCTTCAAAGATATCAATCCTGTGTGGATGCAACAAACCTAGAATTTTAAAAAGGTAGAGTTATAAAAGTTGTAATGTATATACTCAGAGTTAAAAAAAAACAACTAAGTTTATCCATGATTATATATAAAATGTTATTACTGTTCTTCGAAAAATACCTTTCAGAATTGGAATATTTTTAATATTAGCTGTGAAGTTGTTAGAATTAATTTCTTAGCAGTAGGGAAAGCAGGATACTAAACATGTAGCTCAGAACATAAAAAATATTTCCATCATCACTTTAATCATTTTCATCATTAGAAAGGATTTGCTGGGGGTTACTATATACAGAGTAATCAATCTCCCCTACTATACAGTCGACAAACAAACAAGCAAACAAAAAGCCTACCAGCAGGCTGACCTTATCTGTAGCAGAAAAACAGGAAGTTCACAAAACTCTCAATTTGTGTTCTGGTTCAAATTATCAAATTAATGATCAAATTAGATCACCTGAATGATTGGTTTAAGTAATCATGAGTTGATTTTAAACAGTAAAGTCCCCTCTCCCCAAATTTGACATTACTAATGTCTGTTTTAGAAACGAAATAAAGAAAACAAACTGGCAAATGGCAGTCATGCACATGACTATTTTGGCTAAAAATAATACTGACCAACATTTTTCACGTTTGATGACTACTATTTTAAGAGATTTTTATCAAAAGAATAATTATTCTAATTTTTGATACTGAAATTTGTAACAGGTAAAATGAGAACATTTATATTTCACTATCTAGAGGTTGTAAAACATAAAATGCCTTCTATGTTTATATCTTTTTTCCAATGTTTTTTTAAAAAGTTAAAAGTATATTTAAGATGAAACAGGTTAAATTTACTGTAATCTTTTAGAGGAATGTGATTTTTTTTTCCCATCTAGGGTCATTGATCAAAAAAACTCCACACACTTTAAACAAAGGCATAGTGAAAATTGATTTAATTATTTTTCTTTCAACTTTCCTGTTTTTGTTTAAAAACAGAAAGCAAAGCTATATTAAATAAATATGATATGCAAACATAAAGACTCCAAGTACATATTATGAACAAGTTGTGGTTAAAAAAAAGGGGTGTGGGGTGGGGTTAGGGAAAGAAAAGCAAAACAGAAAGGGAATAAATTAGATTCAGCAGAAAGAACTGAAACAGGCAGGCAAAGAAAGGGTGAGGCACAGAAGGGAGCCAAAAATCAGAGAGGGAAAAGTAGGAGGCAGGCAGAGAGTTGGAGATTAAAAAAAAAAAGAAAAAAAAGGAAAAGAAAAAAAAGAGGGGCAGCAGCAGAAGAGCACAAGTAGATTCTGCAGTGACTGGTGGTACAGGTCATTTTTTACACACCACTTTTCACTTGGATGAGGATATCCCTCAGTATCGATTATTACTATGATGTTTTATTGCATACAATAACTTATTTCCTGCTTGCTGTCACTGCTATTTGAAATAAAATTTATGGTTCATGGGAGCTAATAATCCTGTCTACTTAAAGTGTTCTGCTGAGAACAAACTAGCCACAGAAGCAACAGTATAAAATCATCTTCTGAATCTGGGCAGCAATGGCCCATGTCTGTCCAAGTCAAGAAGCTCTTCTGCCTTGGCCTCTTTGTTATTCTAGCAGGAATGAAAATTTTAATTAATAGTAAGAGCTACAAGTTGAAAGGAGAAAAAATTTAAGGAAATCCAGAATGCAAAGCTTTCATACTTGTATTTATGCGCTGTCATTTAATATTCTCAATGATAATTAAAAGCAAAATCAAAAGCACTTCACACACCTTGTTTGCTGCTGACAGAGACCACTGAATTAGAGCCATCATACAGAACACTGCCGATCACGGAGAGCTCAAAGTCAGCCCAGTATATGCGTTCACTAAAAAGATCCACAGCCAGACCTGCAAGGTCAACACACACAGACAAATAATGGAAATAGATTTCAGATTATTTAAAATCAAGTTTTTGCTTCTTTTAATGTATTATTATGGTTGACATTTTTCTTCAAGTATCACAGAAATTACCCAGTGTATGTCATGGTATTATAGAAATCAGAAAAATTGAAAGAACCTTATCCTTATCTCAAATATGTGTGTTCAGATTACAAAGCATTTATTTAATAAGCTATAGAAAAATTTTACTTCGCATAGGAAAAGCTACCCTAATTAACCTTCGTATCCATACTTACTGGTTTCTTAATTATGGTTATTCTTTAATAGACTTTTCCATGATATTTCCATTTTTATCTTTATAGTATATGCAGAATGAATTTATTATTTAAATTATTTATCTAACCATTATTTAAAATACTTCAGTAGAATTAGTTATAATTTCAATTCCTTTGTGAAGGTATAGGTCTCAGAATGTAAAAGGTTCATGGACTTAATCGTAAGACATTTTCACCCATTTGGAGTTGACTCCAGAGTTGTGAGATACCTATGTGCATGCTGAAATTTTAAGTGACTAAAGATTAATGTTTATACTAGAAACGAATGATGGTAAATTTCTTAATTAAGATTCTAGTGGTGCTTGAATTTTTTTACTGTAATCATTAATTTGCTCTGAGACCGCATGTCTTCATTTTCATCATAGGTATCTGTCAGTGAATAATAATGGGTCAAAATAACATGTGGTGGAAAATGTATTTCTATTTATTTGATTTGAATTTGTTGATTTTGCAAATGTGATTGGAGTCCAGCCAGTATCTTGCAAAAATCATCAAAACATAGAAAATCTTAGAAAGTACACTTCCTTCAATATAGAAAAGCAAGATCTATGACATGTATGTTCTATAATAAATCTTTGCCGCTGTAGATATTTAATTTTTATGACAAGCTAGTCCTTAGATACAACATATTACATACTTCAAAAGTACAATGCAATTAAATACCTATGATAACTGAAGAGTTTTTCTAATCAGAATATTCAATAAGCAACTGAGGTGTACCTCAATGGCAAGGGAACTGAATAAAAGGTATTTTTTCGTCTGTGCTACATTTGTATTTCCATGCAGAGAGACCAAGACTTAACAATCAGAATGAAAAATATCCTGGTGAAAATCATTTGCAAATAATTCTTCAGTTAAGTATGTAGATACAGTCCAAAAGTAATCAAACTAAACATAAATATTGCTCTTCAAGTAAAATATAGAGATCTGCTATGCCCAATCAGCCACCGAGAAGTTACTTAACAATTAAAGCAAGTGGTCCATGTTTTACTAGCTTCTGCTCAATGATTAATTTGCTATTTGGAGTCATATTAGGAGTTATGATTTTGCTTCTTCATGTATAATTATAAGTAACATGAACCATAAAATGATCCAATTTCTGGCTACTGCCATTATAGTTCAAAACAGTTGTCTTAAAAGGGTTGAAAACACTTTTCTTTCTCCTCCACTAATGCGATATGATAAAGTAGATAAAACAAAAACCTGTCCTCGGTAAAATTGATTGTACACTTAAAAATATTAGATTTTCTAATTATAGAAAACAATGAGTGTGTAATCAAACTTAGTGAACAATATTGTTTTTTCAGATCCAGCAGCAGTAAAAAGTTCTCAGAAACGTCATATATTGCATTATTGGTCTAGGTTGTCTAAGACATATCCATCGTTATCAGCTCTGATCCCATATTGTACTATTGGGTGGATTTACATCTAAATAAAATTTATATAACAAAGCTTTTAGATGAGTGGGATTTATAGTTCAAAAATTTTGTAAATCAATGAGTTTGCTTTTCCCTTAAGAGGGAAAGAGATAGTCTTTTAAATTAAAAAGTTAATAAAAGAATCAACTAACTTTCCCTGTAATAAAGATGAGAGTCAAGCTTATATGAAAGAACAAGTTCATGTCTATCTTTAAAATATCACATCCCTTTTTTGTCTTTAATAAAGAACCAATAATAAATTTTAAAAAAATCGGTTCTCAAGAAACTCATTCCTATCTGAATTAAGAATGATGAATCTCTGAAACCAAGTCAATAGAAGTGCAGAAAATTTAAAATAAGATGCCAAACTTGTTTTAATCAAGCATAATGGAATCACAGTTTGGAAGGCTTGTAAAAGATAAAGACATAGGCTCACAACGTTTTAGTGATGCATGATAATGACACTAATCACGTAGTCATTTTCTTAACACCTCCCACGACACCAAGACTACTGTTACACTTTAGGGATTTCTCAATCTCACTTTTGTTGAACTTTGACATTTTTCAGGATCCTCCCACTAGTTTCCCTATTTTCATTATAGTCTAAAAAGAGAAAAAGAAAATGGAGGAAAAATCTTATGAGAAACGACCACAGTACCAATGTGATATTTAAGAGAGAAAAAGGACAGAGCAATAAATTAAAATCACTGTATTTTCAGAAATAGAGAAAAAGATTATAAACTTTGTTTTAAAGAAAAGCCAAGATTTGTAAGGCAGGAATAACCAGCAAGTGTGCACTACCATATTTTTGATTTAAGGGATGATAAGAGGAACCAAAAGCTCTGAAGATATTTACCATTATATCAAATTTATATCTCAAAAATTGTTAAAAGTATTTTTGAGATAGATGGCCTACTTAGAGTCTTAGATTCCAAACTAGATTAATGCTGTTTTTTCACATGTATACGTATATGCACATATATACATATAAACTCACACAAATTTATTTTTCTCTCACACACACTTTTGGTGGTGTTTGTACAATAACTGCATCAAGAAACAGCAAAATAATTCTAAGATGTTTATCCATTTAGACCCTTTGTTAGCCAAGGACAATGAACCTGCTTAATGAATCAAACATTAGGGCTGGTTCAGGGCCAGTGGTGTAGTTCCTTATTCTCTCAGAAGTTGCCAAAAGTTTAGCAGAGATAAAAGTCAACATAAATAGGCTTCTAGATATTAAAGAATATGGCACTTAAATCAAACTCATGTAATCCTACATACTCTCATACTGGAAGGAAAACTGGAAAATGTCCTTATATGACACAGTGTTCATTAACTCAACATATACTCATGGGGCTTCTCCCTTGTACCACACACTGCCAGGTACTAGGCACAGAGCAGTGGACGAAAGAGATCATGTTCCTGCTCTCATGAAGCATGTTACTCCATCACCACACAATTCATTGGAACAGAAGATAGATTACGCTTCTTGTGTTTAAAATACATAATGCCTAATTTAAAAAAAAAAGTGTGCCATTTATTAAAGGAGGTCGTAAAACCATACCAGGCGTTAGAGTGTTAAAAGTTCAGGCATCTATCTCTCCACATTCATTCAATACATGATTATTCAACACATAAACTCACACTAATTAAAGGCACTATAATATGCTACAGGGGATATAACACGGAAATCAGTGATGGTATTTGGTTTAAGTGGTTCATGGTCTGGTTGGGCATGTAGAATGTGCACTAAAGAGTTAATAATCTGCTGTATCATTAAAGCAGAACATAATGGAGTACCAAGTATGGAAATAATGAATGCTATAAAAGTCCAGAGAATTAAGGTGTTCTCATCAAGATTTTGGCAAGTCTGAAATGATAGTGCTGGTGGTGGGCTAATTATCTGATCAGATAGTAGAGCACTAACCCTGGAATTTATAGTGGTTACAAAAAGGGACAGAGACAATATATACAGCTATTCCTGTTGTTCCTTCATGCTAATATCATCTTTACCCTACTAAGGTACAGAGTACAACCAAATGTACTGCGTTCCAGAGTGCATATTCATTCATGGTGCATAAAAGAAAAATACCCTTTCCTATAAACCCACAACATGAAAAACAAGATTTTATACTCGGAGGGAAACAGAGGCATTATTATACTTACTGATTTTAGTATGATAACCTTGAACTCAGGAAAAATATTTCTATACACCAGGAAAACAGAGAGAAAATTGATGTGGACAAGTCTAAGATAGTCCTGGGAAGATATAAGCAATGAATATGCTTCCATGCAAGGATATCTCATAGGATATATTTGTATAAGTGCACATGCCTCCTCACATATAATGTGTATATATGCATGTAGATACAGAGTAATGACTTACTGGTTGCCAACTTTTATTACTGCTTTCTAATAATATGCTATTTATGAAAGTTAAATTATCTACTATTTCCTAAAAATCTCCTGAGACGTGTTAACTCATTGTATATGAATAACATTTTGCATGACAATACCCAGGAGTTATAAATCACTATAAAGACAGCACTGAGAGAGATTTCTGCTCAATGAAATAAAAATCATAACCAAGAATATGAAACCAGCATTTCTAATATTAAGAAAGTCACTTATTAAGTAATGCCCATGTAGTGTCCTATATAAATGGAAGGCTTATGCTCTTTCTACTATTCCATACTTTTTCTGTGTAAGACCCTAGGCTATGCCCAATAGTGTATACCATCTACCTTTTGAAACTCTTTCAGCTATTGTGACACTGAATTCTGTAGGTTTACTCCTATTGCTTAGACACCTTTGAAGTTTTCACTTTTGACCTTGACTCTTAACTAAAAGCATTTCAATTAATTCTACCCTTTGAACCTTCTTTTTTCTCCTGCATCCCTTGTCCATCTTAGTAAGTCCAGTAACTTTAAATATCAGCTTCCTGTTGCTAATTCCCCAAACTGAATGTCTAGTTGTGCTTTGAGCTCCAGGACTAAAATTTTCAACTAGCTGTGAGATATATCCATTTGATTCACTTAGCGTGGGTCATGTCCATGCCTGCAACACTCGCCTATGGCCAAGTGACAGCATCACATAATCTGCGCTCAAGTGCCACCTTCCCTAAAGGCCTGTTCTGATGCCCTAATGATGTCATACTGCAACCTGTCCTACTCCATTCCTGACTCTTCTTCAAGTTCTACTTTCACTCTTTTCTCCATAGCACAAAACACCTCATAACTTTATACTTTACTTTTTAAATATTATATTTTTTACTGTCCCCGTCTCAGACCTCTGTCCTCCACTAAAATGTAAGCACTAGCAGGACAGAGATCTATGACTATGTGTTATTTCTATATTCCAAATGCCAAGATTTATACCTGGAGCATACTAGGTGCTCAATAAATATTAGTTGAATTAGGGAATGAATGGATTCTGAGAGTCTCTTCCTGTAAGCAGGGTAGATATTCTCAGAAGAGTCACTGATTAGAAGACACATATATGCAGACTACACATGGGTGAAAAGCTTATGACATGTCCCTATGGGTATATGACAGGATCCTGTTACCTGCTAACATGAGGCAATGTTACTTGCCAAGGTCTCTAAGACCCTGCACAAGCTGGCCCCTACCCACCTCTGTAAGCCTTCTCTCATGACACTTTCCAATTTGTTTCCTATGCACTTTGGCTGTCCTTGAGGCAATGTTACTTGCCAAGGTCTCTAAGACCCTGCACAAGCTGGCCCCTACCCACCTCTCTAAGCCTTCTCTCATGACACTTTCCAATTTGTTTCCTATGCACTTTGGCTGTCCATCAATTCCATTTCCTGCCTGAAAACCCTCTGACCTGTCCTTTACTTTCCACTGCAGTGTCACTCCTCACCCTACTGCTTCACATGGTTTAGTGACTAATCTTAAAAATCAGCTACTCAAAAAGCCTTTCTGGTCCACTATGATTAAAGCAAAACCTCTTTAGCACTCCACTCTTCCCTATCACTGCCATTTACACATATGTGCTATTGTGTGTATGTGTGCACATATATACACATTTCTGCTTTTCTTTTTATAGTCCCCACATTAGACTGTAAGTTCCATGAATGCAAGCATTCATATTTCCGATGACTAATAGTTCCTGGCATGTAGTGAGCATTCAATACTTCTTTTTTAAATGAAAGGAGGAATGAATGAAGAAAGGAAATAAGGAGATGATTGTTTTGCTGATTTTAATTTACTGACTCTTTATCCCTTCTGGAGACATTTCCTATCTTTTCCTCTATCTTTATATGTATTCAAGGAATTCTACTATGCTAACTTGCTTTACCTCCCATATAAATCCTCCCCTTTGTATCTCATTGTCACTATTCTAGACATTTTGTTCTCTGCTCTCATCAGGGCCACTTAATGACAATTAATTGGTCTCTCAGTTTCTGTGTCTATTCATTCCATTTGCCCATTCCTACCAAAGTAAGATGCCTGAAGACCTACCGTTTTCAAATCACTTCTTGAAACAAAATTATACAATAGTTCATTATTGCCTAAAAAATCGTGTCTAAACATCTTGACATTTAAGTTCTGCTAGTCTCAACTCATGCTAGATTACACAACCTGTCCCCTTCTAGGTGCATAGTGACTCCTGACATCAGCAGAATATGCCACGTGCTCCACACTCAGTGCACTATCTCATTTAATACATACAGCATTATTTTAATTTAGTTATTATTATTCTTTGGTCTGTGAATGATAAAACTAAAGTTTGAAGATAATAAGTTCATGTCTGAGGATTCACAACCAACAGGTGATCCCTTGGGAGTCAAAACCTGACTCCAAAGAACATCTTTATAAAAATTCCCTCATGATGGATTATTTGTGCACTTTTCAAATGCCTACCCATCCTTTCACATAGTTTTTCTGTGTTGGAGATCATCTTTCTCACCTTTGAACCCTGATGACATTATAAAACATGAAACAATTTTCATATTTCACAAAAACTACACTTACTTCTGTGCATGCTCCCCCTTTTTTTCCTCCTTGAATGTGAACTTCATGAGAAAAGGGACTATGCCATGTTCGATACACACGTCTTTCACTGGGCCTATTGTAAGCGACAGTGTGCTGCCTGCCCAGATCTTCTCTCCTAGGTGGGACACCCATCCCCCAATTGTTGCTTCAGCTGCTGAGGGCTCACCCTTGCCCCACTTCTCCAGAGAATTGTGCTCAACTGATTGGAGCAGCTTCTCTTGCAAAGTTCATCCCAAAGGCCAACTGATGACTGAGAGGGCATATGCAAATCTGACCCCCTTGCCTATCATGGGATTTATGCCCCAAAGCACATCCTCAGTGGCTCATGCCAAAACTAGACTTTACCTGAGACATAGTTTTTCTGGGCTCTTACCCCTTCCCTCTCCATCTTTCACAGTTTCTTCTGACCCACACTTCCTTCACACACAACCTTTATAGGAATCCCCGCCTCAGGCTTCCTCTTGAGCACCCCCTACAGGCACTTTACAAACTGCACCAGAGTCTTTCTTTAAAATGAGAACATGTTATGTATACTATAATTATGTAAAATGTTAACATCGAAAAAGTTTTTACTAATTTTGCAACTTTTCTGTAAGTCTAAAACTAATTTTTAAAAAAGTTTTAAAAAGTAATGCAAAGTGCTCAAAAAAATGAAAATCGTGTTTTAGCACATCATGCCACTTACCTCCACAATACCCTCCCAATAGTTCCCCTTAAAGCTAAAATAGAACCCAGTCCTCACCGGTGCATTCCAGACCCCTAGTCACCTTGCCACCCTCGTATCTACCATTCTCCTGAATGCTTATATGCTTCTGGGTATACCAACCTTCTTACTTTTACATGCTTGCTATCTCTTTTTATTCAGGTATTTCCTTAAATATCACCTTTTTAGAGATAACTTCTCTGATAATCATGACTAAAATAGTACTCCCCAAAACAGCCCATCCCTTACTATGCATATAGCACTTACAGCTATCTGACATTATATAAAAATATATATTCTATCTTCTACAGGAAGATAAGTTTAATGAGGGATGAAATTTGCTTCACAAGTGTAGGAACTTGTTTCTTCAGCATTTGGAACAATTATTGGCCTATAGTGGGTGTTCAATTAATATTTGATAAGTCACTGGAGACTAACTTATGTAAATAGACTAAATCCCAAATACTGCTTCTTCCCATAAGAGTAAAAACAATCTAGTTGGATGAAAAGGCACAGGCATATTAAAAGTTAATAAAAATGTTAGTGCCAAATAAATATTTTAAACTACAAAAGACATTACAAAGCATAATTGTTAAATAATATATGCTATAGACAATGTATTTTGTCCTTTTGGTGGGTGTGTAGTGGTAGGGGTGAGAGGCACAGAAACCCTGAGTCTTCTGCAGTCTGAAAATGTTTTATTAAGGAAGAAGTGCTAACGCTAGACCTTACAAGATGAAAAAATTCAGCTAGGTGGAAGACAAAAAGTTGGAAGTGCATTCTAGATGTGGGAGCTGAGAGGAAAATGACATGGGAGAAAGAACACGAAGGCAGAAACCGCCTGAGATCCTTAGCAGTGCTGAGAATACAGACAGTTTGGCGTAGTAGCTTAGATGGCATATCTGGGAAGGAGATTAAAGCCAGACTGAAAAGGACACAAAATGAAAAGGCAAGAGACCATCAAATTTCTTTCAAAAAAAATAAAATAAAATAATGTCTTGCCTACTCTTTCTCCATTTAGTCTCTCTCCTTTAGAAAAAATACCATCTATCCAAATATCAACATATATCTAAAAATATCCTAATATATTCCTATAAACTGTCAAATGTAGTGCATGTGCAATTCTAACCTTAACCTAATAACCGTACAGCTTAGGCAATTTCCAAATAAAACCCCCATAATACAATGGTAGTATGATAAGGACTTGACTTTCAAGTTGGAAAAATAAAACATGAAGTGTTAATAACTTCCATAAAATCATGCTGTAATTTATTTTATTCATTTGTAAAAATGATTATATTGCCAACAAAACTAGAAAGAATTGTTAGCATATATGCTTAGCATCCTGCTTCGTATTTTAGAGTGAGTCAGGAGCACATCATACCTGTAGGTCTCTGTAAGTTCTTTTGTACTAAAATCCTTCTCAGAGTACCGTCCATGGCTGCTTCCTCTATGTGGGAGTGGTCCCCAACGACCGTCCAATACATCATCCTGGAGACAGGAGGTCAAGGAGGTTAGCCTGGTGATGTTGCTGTTTTAACTCAACTTTGCTCCCCAAAGCAGTGTCTCTCACACCACTTCCATCAGAATCACCCCCAGAATTCCTTAAAAAGTAGATACCGGCACCCAACTCAAAACCCACAGAATGGGAACCTCCAATAGAGGGGTCCTGAGAATCAACATTTTAAACAAAGTCTTACCTACACACACTAAAATTTGAGAACCATTGTTTAATAGGATACACATAATAGCTTATTGTTTGATATCCAAAGTTCAATTGTGAAAATTCCATTAAAATCTCAAAAGAAAATGATTTCTACTACTTAAAACAAAAATAAACTATTTTCTTATGTAAAAGAATATTCATTTTATTATGAAGGCTGCATCAACATGCTTTTTTTTTTAGAGAGAAGTAACTATTTTCTCAAATAGAAAATAATTCTCTTGTTTAGAAGACACCACACTTCATAATTCTAATAATTAAAGTTTCCTTTTTGCTCAGGATCTAGTGATCCACTTTATGGAGTTTTATTTAACATTTTTTAACTTCTTTATTGGTTATTGCTTGTAAGTTTATATCTTCAAGTAAAAAATTGTATTACATTGTTTAAATTTGTTTATACATATGCATTTATTTTTTATTATCACAAATAGCCAGAAACAATAATCTACATTTAAATGTTTAATAAAATGTTTAGTATTGTGAAAATTCAATTTTAGATTAACAATAGCAGTTATATTTATCTCATTATTCTGCAGTATACACATACAAACATATACACACAGTCACAAACATGCTGAATGTATAATATGACATTCAGGAAGAAAAAATATTTTGTGTCACCATTTGGTGTGAAAGGACATGATTTTGTACAGAAGAAGTACAGGAATTTTTAGAAGTCTTGTGAATCTATTACATGTTGAACAGTCATTACAGAAAGAGAGCTACAGAGCACAACAATCTCTAAAAACAGGTACTCATATTAAGAAATATAAATACCAAAACATTAACCTACCCTCTTTTAGGATTTACAGCAATAGCATAGGGTTCTCCAGCCATATTTGTTAAAAGCCTGGTGCAGTTGGGGCCATTCACCTGCCCTACGTTGATAGAGTACCTCAGACTGGTCCAGTGAGTGGTGTAGTAACTGAACCAGTGCATTCTAGAATGATCAGTCCAGTAAATATTTCCAGCAATCCAGTCAACTGCAATGTCCCTGGGCCTTTTAAATTCAGGACACTAAAAGAAAAAGAAATAACACACCACAATATTTTCAAAAGGAAATGAGTGAAGTTTTCTGTATCTGTGTTTGGAGATTGCAGGAGAATCACAGGAACGTAATCAGGTGTTAATTGTTACATCGATTGCAAAAAAATGTTTAATGTTATTCTTAACCTTTATAGATGTATAACTGCATAAATATTAAGTGTGCATCTCACTAGAGTTTGACCTATGACTGCACCTGTTTAACCACCACCCTGCTAGAATATTTCCAGAACCATAGGACATTTACCTGTGACCTCTCCCAGTCACAGAGAGTAACTATAATTCTGATACATAACACCATACCTTACTTTAAATAAATCCTCATATAAAGAATCATACTTGTCTATTCCTTAACTCTTGGCTCAACACTGTGTCTGTCAAATTCATCCATATTGTTGCTGTGTCAGCTATCAATACTTTTCATTGCTGGATAGTATTTTATTTTATTAATATACCACTCATGGTTTACTGTTCAACTGATGATGTTCATTTGGCTTGGTTACAGTTTTAGGCATTACAACTAAAGTCATGAAGATTCTAGCACATGTTTTTGGTGGACAGAACTATTCAATTCTCTTTAGTATTTATCCAGTAATAGAAGTGATGAGTCTTAAGATACACATACACTTAGCTTGAATAAATACTGGTAGAAAAATTTTTCAGAGATTTTGTACCAATATACACCCTTTTAAGCAACATAAAGAAATCTAAGTTTCTCTGCATCCTCACCACACATAATTTGATTTAAAAATTTTTTAAAAATTAGTACAGAAAGACACATTTAGATACATATCATATTTTAACATCTTTTGAGGAAAGTTACAATCTCTGTCACTTAAAGGTTCGGTTTTATGCTTAATATTCTGTTTTACTGAATTACTATGAGCGGAAGGTAAGAGTTCATCAGAATAGACAGTAAGGAAAATAATGTATGTTCTGTGCCCTTCAATTAACTCGATCATTTTGAGCAGAAACCAGTGTAGTAATTAATTTGACATAGGTTTATTGTGCATAGCTGAAAGTGAGAAGGGATTCCCAGGGGTATTATATCAAGAAGAGAAACAATCATTTGAAGGTGATTACAACTACACATGTAGTCAATGTGTAAGGGCATTATTAGGATCTGGCAACTGGTAGAAATGTGAGATTTTAACACAGTTTATTGTGTGGCTAAGTAACGAACAGATTTTATCAATCAGTGAACTTGGTTTAGAAGTGAAGAAACTGAAAATCTCAGAAAGAACATGGAATGCCAAGAAACAGGAATTGCAAGTCACTGTCTGCTGTGTGATTACTGGGCTCTTCAACAAGAAAAATATGGCTTGAACTACAACCAGAACCCATAGACAACGTCTAATGACCTTGATTATCAATATTCTGACCAATTTGGCTTCAAAACCAAAATTATAAAATTTTGTATTAGCCTATTTCTCAACTCTAACAATAAATACTATTCATATACTCAGTAGATATCTGAGTTAATTATAAAGCACTCTGTAATACAGCGTGCTCTAGAAATGTCATATAAATAATACTCATAAATGGTTAGAATGTAGAGATTTGTCCTAGCTAAAACAAAAAATCACTTTCAAATCCTCTAGTATCATTTAAATCAGCTGCTTTTTTTTCAGTTTGACAACAGCTAAAATTAAATATATCACCAAAACGGCACGTGCATCTCAGTGTGAATCATGAATTTGTAAACATGAACGAGCACTATAAGCTATTTGAAAACTGTTGAAGCATACTTATAATTTTCTAACACCAGTAGAAGAAACTTTTAGTATGCAAAAATATGATGCTAGTTGTCTAGCTTAAGCGTAGAAAAAATACTTACTTTCACTTCATCAAATGTAAATATATACACTTGATTTTCTATCCTAATGTTATCCCTGCCAAAATATAACATTTCATACAGTGTTCCATCATTCCATTCTATACCTTTAAACCTGTACTGCTGATAATTAAAGACTCAAATTCCTAATGTTCATAGAGAATTCATAACTTTGATTTAATGATACTTTTTCAGGTAAACAGGCTGGTGAGGATTTTACTAATGGTGAATTCTAGAAGGATAAATCAAATTTAGGTCACATTTCAAGGGTAAAGGACATGGATTAAGGAAAGGGAAAAATGTTAATTTCATGCCAAGTACAAGAAATACTGATGATTGGCAGTCTTTAAATCTATGCATTTATTCTCTGGTTCCTGGATCAAGGAATCCCTAATGTCATTCCAATAACAACTAAAGTAGTTTGAATACAGGGTAAAGGATAGTCACACCCAATTAATTCAAACTAAAGTCATGATATCATCAGTGACAAAATGATTCTCTGAGAATAATGGCAGAAGGTGAAAATGTTACCAGGTGTTTATCATCAATGACTCACATACATTGAATGCTCATTAACCCTCAACAATGAAAAGCACATAACAGAAAAAAGAAAAATACAGAAAAATAAGAGGAGGAAGGGAGGAAGTGAGAAAGGAAAAGGAGGAGGAGGAAGATCACCATCAAAACAAGAAGGAGGCAACAGTATTGTCCTACTCTCAATTAACCTATGGGCAAATTAGGAGATCACCTTTTGTACTGTGTTCCATAAGAATGAAATAATCCCTCTCCATTGCTCACCACTTGAACAGGATTGTGAACAGCATTAGCCATATAAAAGGGACTCATATTGAAAGGATGTTGGCTGGAGAGCAAAAGGCAGAAATTCCTGTTGAATTCTTGATATTATGATCAAGCAATTTATAAAGAGGTACCGAAATCAATCAGGTAAATACAAAAAGAGAGGAAAACACAAGAAAAGTAAACTGAGGTTCTAGAAGTAGAAATGGAGATTGACATGGGAAAACAGAACAGGAAAGCTAAGAACATGCTTCCCCCAAAAAACAAACACACCAGATTGGAAAGAAAAATATATAATACTTTCATGTGCACCTTTGGCTAGCTCACTAGACACAGGCTGAAGAACTAGAGGCACTAATGACATGTGTCATGTTTAAGAGACTGCAGAAGCATGTGGTTACCCTGACAACAAAAGGCATCGCTCTTATTATTGCACAAAATAGAAGACACACACATTTTGACTGCTTTCTCCAGACAGATGATTTCTTCCCTAATAAGCTCTCTTGTACACAGGCAAAGTTTTAAGTCCTGAGGCATTTCTCTTTGTAGAAATATATTAGTCAAATGAATAAAGCCCTTAAATTTTATAGAAAAATTGACAGCTTGATAGTAACAAAATTAGAGGTTACTTCTTTACATTACTAATCCTTTACAGCTCTGGATGTAGGTATCTGTCACAATTCCAGTTTCAGTAAACTAAAGATAGAAGTCACTGGAGACATTTGTTTTAAAACAGAAAAGAGAAAATACCAATGAAAAAGGAGTTGAAGCATTTGAGGCATGAAATACTGACTTCTTTTTAACAAAATTCTTATAGTTAGTAATACACTTGTAGAAAATTTAGTTATCACAAGGATAGATTGAGGTGATTTCACATATTTTATCTGTTTGTGATTTTTGTTCATGTTGGTGTACGTCTATGAATAGAAAATTTGGCTCATGTTACTAAAAGTTAACTATCTCCTAATGTAGTTCTAGGAAAACAAAGACATAATGCCACTTTCAAGAAATTGTGTGTGTGTGTGTGTGTGTGTGTGTGTGTGTGTGTGTGTGGTGTAATACTAAGTGAAAAGTCTATTTACATTTTGGTCCACAAAATATGAATCAGATTAGATTCCTATACACAAGAGAATAGAAGTAAAATAATGACTACATAAATTAAAAATACTAAATTCTATTGATTTATTGGTGTTATAAAAGTATCCAGATAGTTAATATTTCAATAAAAAAACTCACATAGTAATAGAGAAATCCAAAAGTATTTTTAAAAGTTATATTTAGAACTAGAATGTGTAAAAGTTCAAAAACTACTCCCAGGAATGAAACTCCTGGCTTCTATTTATGATTTATTCTTGAAGAAGCGATTATTTTAATCCAAGTAATTTTAAGGCTATAGTGATCTACTTCAAAAAAAAAAAAAACGTTTTAGTAGATTCTAACTTAAAATTAACATGTCACTTTAAACATTCAAATTTTTTGTTTTTCTTGATAATTAGGAATATATAGGTCAGTATATTAAAGCCAAGACAACATTCCAGAATAGCAGAGCCAATCAGCTGCTGTCCCCCAATGTGTTCAGTTGGCCTGTATATCCTGGGTCCTTGGTGCTTATGTCCAAACTGTTTCACTCATTTATCTCACCTACATAACTTCTTTATACATGTGTGGTTTGCAACCCATTATTTAGAGACAGAAGGGATTGAATTTACTGAATAAATTATGTATCTTAGAAAGGGAATTGAGACAGCAAAAAACACATAGAAAAAAGTCAGAGAAGCAAATGTTGACAAGTATGTCTCCAGAATAAGTAGGTAAGCATCTTGTGAATGAACAGAAATTTTTGGTCTATGTAGCAGATGTGTGTGTGTGCGCATACATATGTGTGTGTGTGTATGTATATGTATACATACACACATAAATTGGGTTCTTATACCTCAATATCTCTCACCAATCAAATTCATTCAGAATATGAATACATATGTCTGTGTGTAAATGTAGGAAATGCTGAATTTATATCATTTCCTTGCCAGCAAATAAAGCTATTATACAACACTATATTTGGGGGAGGAAAAGTTGAAGAAACAACTCTGGTATATATAGATTTTTACTCACAGTTAATTTAATCTAAACCTGAACTCGAAAGCTAATATAGTTTCTTTTTAAAACCATCTTATTGTTATCTACAACTGATAAAATTAAAATATGTTCCAGATTTGCATTAAATGCTGTTCATGTACTTTAAGTCTTTATGGTAGATGCCAGTGTATAAAAAGTAGTGAAGACTTTCAGATAGGTACCTCTGATTCTTTTAAAATACAAAGCTTCAATTACATCCTGCTGT